TCTCACCTAGACCCCGGCCCCGGCCCCGACTCCCGCTCGCACACTGGCCTCCGCACTGCACCTCCGCGCCCCGGTGGCCCCCGCGTCCACCGAAGGCTTGGCGACGCGCAGTCGCGTGCAGCTGCTGCAGACGGTGGACACGGAGTACACGGCGGACTCGGTGGAGTGGTGCCCGCTGGAGGGCTGCCGGCGCGTGCTGGCCTGCGGCACCTACCAGCTGCGGGAGCCCGAGAGCCAGGTGCGCGGCGCCCCGGTCCCGGGGAGGCGGGGAGGGCGAGAGGCGGCTCCGGAGAGGCAGAGCGGGCCCGAGGTCCAGCCCTCCCCGGTCTGCCGCCCGGGGCCGAAAGAAAAGGCTCCTGTGGAGTCACAGGAGGTGGAGAAGCGACGCTGGCCCGGGAACCGGCGTGTAGATCAGAAACGGGCATCTTGAAAGCAGAATGCCGTCTGTATGCGGCGTGGCTCCAGCCTATGAATGAAGTCTCTAGTACACAGTCAAGGGGTTGTGCTGGAGCTGCTCCTAATCCTGGGAGCAGGCGTGTGGGTCCAAACCCAGACCCTTAGAACTCACTAGAGCACAGGCCTCGGCCACGACTGTCCCTGAGGGGCCCTAAGCACAGCTGGCCCCTGCTGGCCGGTTTAGAAGGAGTGCTCTGTGCTGGGCCAGCACACCTAGGGGAGACACTACTTCAGCTCAGAAAGTCGGGGGCTGCTCCCAGGCAGGATCCAGTCTCCACAGACCTATTTCCCTCGCTCCCTGTCCCACCTTCTGCATCTGTCAGTGTCAGTGTAATCTGGACACATCAGCATTTTTTATAGAGTGACCCGGCAGCTGCTGAGCCTCAGACCCGTCTAGGCCGCCTCTACCTGTACAGCTGCAGTGAGGACCTCTCTGCTTGCTCCCTGGCCGAGATCCAAAGAAGAGACACTTATGCCATCCTGGACATGAAATGGTACAAACTCTGATAACTCCACTTGTCTGGAATCTGTCACTTCGGCGGGGAGCCCAATGCCTGGCAGCATTCAACAAGATAGGGCCACCTCTGAGCTGTGGGTTCCTTCTTTCACCATCCTGCCCACCTGTGGGCACTGGCAAGATGATGTAGACTTGGGGTTCATTTCCTTTGTCAGTTTCCGCCCCAGAGTTAGTGTCGTTCTGAGAAGTGGTGCTAGTATTTGGATCTGTAAGCCAGGGAATCTTGTTGGAACAGGGTTGTAGGGCCCAAAACAGTGTAGGGGTTGAAATTTAAATGGTAAGTTGCTGGGGTGCATAATGTCCTGTGTCTGGGTGTGCCCCATGTCCTGACTGGCATGTGGATTTCTCCTTCAGGTGCCATATCCCGGTGGCCGGCCATGCCCTCCTGGGTGTGGCAAATGCTGGCGGGTTCATAGAGCTGTTTCAGCTCGCGGGATGCAAGGTCAGTGACCAGCGGAGCTTTGTCAGGATTGTAGGGACCCACATGGAGAGGGTTTGGGAGGGAGGCTGATGCCAAGGTTTTCCTAGGGTAGTTTCTGTGCAGTGGTGGACTTTATCCTGCAACGTCCTAAGGTAGCACGCAGTCTATCTTATAATTTTTTTTTTTTTAATCCTCACCTGAGGTTATTTTTTCTATTGCTTTTCAGGAAGTGAGAGAGACACATCGATTGGTTGCCTCCCACACACGCCCCAACCAGGGCCCAGGATCAAACTTGCAACTGGGGAACATATCCTTGGCCCGAATCGAACCTGGGACCCTTTAGTTCGCAGGCCTGCACTCTAACCGCTGAGCCAAACCGGCTAGGGTGCGTGTAGTCTATTTATTTTATTTTATTATTTTTAAATATGTCTATTGATTTCAGAGAGAGGAAGAGAGAGGGAGAGAGATATAGAAACATCAGTGATGAGAGAGTCACTGATCAGATGCCTCCTGCACGCCCCCTACTGCGGATTGAGCCCGAAACCAGGCATGTGTCCCGACTAGGAATTGAACCTCCATCTCCTGGATCATAGGTCTATGCTCAACCGCTGAGCCACACTGGCCAGGCCAGTCTATTTTAAATGATTGGGTTGTGCATCTAATTCCGAGAGGAGATCACTTACGTGTCACCAGCAGAGGGGCTGAAGTGACAGACTGTTGGTTTAACCATTGATGGATCTGAAAGCTCTTCTCTGAGGAGAGCCCACATCACCATTCTGGGCAAATGCTGCCGGGGCTGTGAACAGCAGCAACTTTACTACATGGGAATGGCCCTCATCAGTGACAGTTAGGAGAACACATGGTTGCCACGGGAACTCCCAGGTGTCTGACAGCGGCCCTGTGCCATGTATCTATGTGTCTGTGCAGTGACAGCCCTGACCTGCAGGGAGGAAAGTGGAAGTCCACAGGGCCGTGCTGCCTTGGGGGGCACAGGTCTTGCTGTGAGGGGGTTGATACAGAGGCCCAGGGGTGCCGATTTGTGGCAGCTGAGGGCTTGTCTGGAAAGAGCCTTGCTTCACGCTGGCTGGAAGCAGCAGCCCTGACCTGGGAATGAGGGAGGAAATTCTGGGGAAGACTGTGGGCCCAAGACCAGGATCAAGGCAGGAGCTGTAAACCCAAGAGAACTCGCTGATAAAGCAACCTGCTAGGAGCCTGTGAGTGGAGCTAAGCAGGCTCCAGGTTGCTTAGGTAATAAAACTCACATGGATCATAGGAAAGAGAAATAGTGTTTTAATGGCCAGTCGTGGCTTCTTAAAGGGAAACCAGAGGAAAGTGTTCATTGTGTTCCTGGAGGCCTGCAGAGCTGGAGAGCAGTCACCAGGGTGCTTCCCGGCCCCGAGTAGGCTTGCAATAGCGTTGGGGGGCATGGACAGCAAGGGGTCTAAGAAGGAGAGATACTTGCTTCCCCCAAGGTCATGAGTGTGGGAAGTCCTCCTACATTTGTGTGAGCTCCTAGAGGGCACCAGCCGGTTCTGCAGTGTCCTCAGGGTCTCTGAGTGGTGACATGTGTCATTTACCTGGGAGTAAATAAGGGAGTGACGGGCTGCCGGAGCTGGAGAGCTAATCCTCCCAGGGTCCTGAGCTTCCCATTGACGGCTGACCCCTCCCTCCAGGAGAGCACACACACCCTGCAGCCATTTGGCAGCTGTGCCCTGGACAAGCAGTGTCTGGCCTTATCCCTGGACTGGTCCACTGGGAAAGCTGGAAGGTAAGGACCACCGTCTTTGCTCTGATGACTCATTCCTACTTTCGTGCAGGAGAGAATTAGAGCCTCCTGAGCTAGGCCTGACTGTGGCTCCCCAAACCTGGAAGTGTCGTACCAGCCCCCTCTGAAAGAGCAGAAATATCAGCCTTCTAGGTAAAAGGGGTGGTGTCTTCATCAGGAGAGGCTGACACTGATCTGTTTCAACAAGCTGAGTGGTAGCTCTGCTCTGTCCAATTCCTGAGCCTCCAGAAACGTGTCCACATACCAGGCCCATGGAGAGCCTCTCCCAGGACATGACTTGATACGGGTGTCACTGCTTGGGAACCAGAAGAGGGAGATGAATGGGTCTCTCAGTGAAGGTCATTGGGGTTTCTACGTTGGTCCCCTGTGTCTAGGGCCAGTGACCAGCCCTTGAAAATCATCAGCAGTGACTCCAAGGGGCAGCTGCACCTGCTGAAGGTGGACGCAGGGCCTGGGCTGCAGAGTGTGGCCACATGGCAGGCCCATCACTTTGAGGCCTGGATTGCGGCTTTCAATTACTGGCAGACAGAAGTCGTGTATTCAGGTCGGTGCTCCTGTGCTGGGTTAGTTCTCGAATTAGTTCTGTCTTGAGGCTCAGCTCATTGCAAGCAGGGGTGTCGTGGGGCAGTGAGTTAATAATTCAGGACCAGTTAGTTTATTCCACAAACGTTCAGTGAGCACCTAGTATGTGCCAAGCTCTGTTCTGGGTGATTGGGGCCCATCAGTGAACAAGGGACAAAATCCCTGCTGTCATTGAGCTCACATTGGGTGGGAGGAGCTAGACAGACGGTCCTGTCACAGAGCAAGATCATGGCAGGGGAGAGCCTGGAGTGGGAGTGAACCTGTCATGGCCAGAATGATGGGAGGGACTGTTAGAGCAGGAGAAGGTGACATTGGAGGTCCCAGTGCCGTGCAGGCACAGGGAGGACCTTGGCCTCTCCTCCATGTGTAACAGGAGCCACTGCAGGAGCACCGATGGCTGGGTCCTCGCTAGGAGCTTAGCCACGTGTGACCTGGGAGTTTGTCTTCCCTTTCATCCCTGCAGGTGCCCTCCTCAAGTCTAAAGATAACTCAGCGCAGGGGTGACTGTTCTGGGGGTGCCTCCCCTGGAGCTCTTAGGTCTGAAACCACCTGGGAAAAGTTGCCCAGGAACTTCCTCACAGACACAGTTCCCTCCCTAGGAAATGGCCACTTGCTGTTACAGTGCCACTGTCAGTGATCTTTCTCTTTCCACACAGGTGGGGACGACGGCCTGCTGAAGGGCTGGGATACCAGGACACTTGACACACCTGTGTTCTCTAGCAAGAGGTACGTCGTCAAGGGGCCAGCACTCGGCTGCAGCAGTGCCCCACCCCCACCCGTGGGCTTCCCGGAGAGCGGCCCTGCCCCACACTGCTGAGGCCCTGCCTCTGTTTACAGACACTGCATGGGTGTGTGCAGCATCCAGAGCAGCCCCCACCAGGACGGCATCCTGGCCACCGGGAGGTGAGGCCCCACGCGGTTCCCAGGGCCTTCCTAAACTTTCACTTCCTTTAGTTGGGCCACAAACCAGGGTTTAGGGACAGGGACAGGGGCTTTGTCCTGGAGAGGCGAGTGGAGCGGGTCTTCCGCGAGACGTTCCCTCCACCGGGGGGCCTGTGGTTGTTTGTTTTAGCTATGATGAGCATGTTCTGCTGTGGGACACTCGGAACATGGAACAGCCATTTGCGGACGTGCCCATGCAGGGCGGGGTGTGGAGGCTCAGGTGGCACCCCTTGCACAGCCACCTGCTCCTGGCAGCCTGCATGCAGGGCGGTTTCTGGATCCTCGACTGCAAGAAGGCAGTGGGTGAGTGGGGCCCGTGGCAGCTGACAGGGCGGGGCTCCAGTTTCCTGTCCTGCATATCCCCAGGTCCCCCAGGCTGTGCTGTGGTCCCCACCAGTGTCTCAGGTGCAAGCACTCTGCCCTCGAGCCCTGGTTCTTCCCTCACCAGCTGGTTGTTCTGGAACCTCCTGCACTGCAGGGACCTCTGACCCTGGCCGACCTCTGCCCTGGGAGACCTGTCACGTCCATAACCACCCTGGGCCAACTCTGCCTTGTTCTTCCTGCTAGGAGGCAGTGTGGTCTGCACGGTTGGTGTCCCAGACCCACTTCACCTCCCTCTTGCTTCCTGTCTTACACTTTGTGGGCGGAACCCAGCCCTGGGTCCACCAGCTCTGCTTTGCCTGATCCACAGGTGACCGCAGGACTGCCGTCACCCCGCAGGGTCTCGCTGAGGCTTGTGCTGCAGCAGGTCCGGGGATCGCCAGGCGAGCGCATTCTTTCTCTGGCCAGTACCTCTTCATGGTCAGGATGGTTCCCCGAGCTCTTGTCTTCTTGATTCCCCCCCCCCCC